TATCTTTTTTGCTTAAAAATTTAAAAAAGATTACTGGCTAAAAGATTAAACAAACAGTGAGAATTTTCAAAAAAAAAAAAACCAGTGTTAAAAATAACCAATTAATAGAGATCTATAGATTTCACCCCTGCCCCCACATTCTAGTCAATAAATGAAAACATTAGCAGTTTTAGAAATAACACGTAACCAAAAAAGATAAACAAATACTTTAAAACACCACAATAATGAATATCCTTTGGCTTAAAACTAAACGCAAAATATATTAAAAAAAATAAACAAATTAGGCTAGTAATATTATGCAATGTTTCAAATCAAACCAAAATTAAAAATAAAAACAACTACTAAATGGGGATATACGGATTTCACCCCTGACCCCAAAATCTAGTCATTGAACAAAGACCTCGTTATAACAGATAATATGAAGAATCAACGACAAAAACAATGAAACATAAAAAACCTAGTTATGCAAATTTTAGACTTAAAAATCTTAAAGAAACATCAATCCATTAAGTCAACAAAATTATAAGGAATTCCAAATGAAATAAAGAAAGTCTACAAGAAAATTGACAGAACTTTGAGGATCGACAGATTTCACCCTTGGCCTCAAAGCCTAGTCATTTAATTAAAACTGAAATATTGTCAAATAATGCAGCGAAGCAAGATGCATAAACAAAAAAAATTAAAACATATCCATGAATAATCTAGTGCTAAATAATGTAAAGAACCAAGACAAATAAAATGATATTAAAAAAGCAATGGAAAATTTCAAATAAAAAAAAAAATTGGGTAAGAAAAATAACCCGTTCAATAGGATCTACAGATTTCACCCTTGCCCCCAAATTATAGTCAATATATTAAAACATTAATAGCTCTAGACAAAACAAGTAATAGAAAAGTAAACAAATACCGTAAAAAAAAACAGTAATGAATATCCTTTGGCTTAAAAACTAAAAAATAAAAATATCAACTAGAAAAATAAAAATGTACTAATTTTTTACTACTATAAAAATAAAAACATATCAATTAGGCCAATATAATTATGTATTGCTTCGAATTAATCAACCAAAAGAGGAAATAATATCAACTATTAAATAGGGATCTATGGATTTCATCCCTGACCAAAAATTTAGTCACTGAATTAAGATCTCGTTCTAACTAATAATACGAAGAATCAAGGTGGAAATGTTAATGCATAAAAAATCTACTTATGTAAATTCATAGGCTTAAAAGTCTTAAAAAAACACCAATCCATTAAGTCAACAAAAATTATGAGAAATTTACAATGAAATAAAAAAAGTCTGTAGAAAATTTAACAGATCTTTGGCGATCAACAGATTTCACCCCTTGTCCTAAAGTCTAATCATTAAATTAAAATCGAAATATTGCCAAATAATGCAGAGAACCAAGAAGCATAAACGGAAAATTTAAAACACATAACTACGAATATCGTAGTGCTAGAAAATACAAAGCGCCACAACAAATAAAATGGTATGTTAAAAAACTTGGTCGTGAATATTTACTTGGCTTCAAAATTGTAAAAGGATTACGAACTAGAAGTTTTAACAAACTATGGACAAATTTCAAATAAAAATATGAAAATCGATAGGAAAAATGACCAGTTAATGGGATCTACATGTTTCACCCCTGCCTCAAAATTCTAATCAATAAATTAAAACTGTAACCAAGAAAGACAAATGAATACCATAAAAAACACAGTAATGAATATTCATAGGCTTAAAAATTAAACAAGAAATATCAAAAATAAAATAAAAATATACCAATTAGGCCAACAGAAGTGTACCATTTTTTTAAAAGATTGAAAATAAAACAGTACAATTTAGGCTAATAAAATTATTTATCGTTTAGAATCAAACAACCAAAAGAGAAAATAAAATCAACTACTAAATGAGGTTATACGGATCTCATTCCTCACAGATATTTGGGGATCAACAGATTTCACCTTTTGTCCCAAAGTCTTGTCATCGAGTTAAAATCGAAATTATGCCAAATATTGCAGAGAACAAATATGCATAAACGGAAATTTTAAAACGCATAACTACGAATATCCTAATGCCAGATAATGCAAAGAACCACGACAAATAAAATAAGTACGTTAAAAAACTTGAGCACGAAAATCTTTTTGGATTAAATTTTTTTTAAAAAAAACCAACTAAAAGCATAAACAAACTACAGATAATTTATTATAAAAACAATTTGTAGTAAAAATGACTAGTTAATGGAAATCTATAGATTTCACCTCTGCCCACAAATACTAATCAACCAATAAAAATATAAGTCATTGTAGACAAAACACGTAATCAAGAATAATAAATGAATACCTTAAAAAACCAGAGTAATGAATTAAGCTTTAAATGGAGATATACGGATTTCATCCGACCCTAAAATCTAGTCATTGAATTAAGACATCATTATAACATATGTTAAAATGAATCGAGACGAACAAAATGATGCCTAAAAAACCTAGTTATGCAAACTCTTAGGCTTAAAAATTGAAAAAAAACACAAATCCATTAAGTTAGCAAAATTATAAGGAATTTAAAATGAAACAAAGAAAGTCTGAAAAATCGGCAGATTATTAGGGATCGACAGATTTCACCCCTTACCCCAAATCAAGTCAAAGAGTTAAAATCGAAATATTGCCAAATAATACAGAGAATGAAAACGTCTTAACGAAAATCTTAAAACACAACCACAAATAATGCAGAGAAGCAATATGCATAAAAAAAATTAAAATACATAACCACGAATATTCTAGTGCCAAATAATACAAAAAACCACAACAAATAAAATAGCATGTTAAATAAACAATGAAAATTTTCTAAAAAAAAAAAAGAATCAATAGGAAAAATAACCAGTTAATAAGGATCTACAGATTTCACCCCTGCCCCCAAATTCTAGTCAGTAAATTAAAACATTAACAGTTCGAAACAAAACAAGTAACCAAAAAAGATAAACAAATACCTTAAAAAACTATAGTAATGAATATCCTTTGGCTTAAAAACTAAACAAAGAAATATCAACTATAAAAATAAAAATGTACTAATATTTTACGACTATAAAAATAAAAAAGTACCAATTAAGCCAATATAATTATGTATTATTTCAAATTAAACAACCAAAAGAAGAAAAAATATCAACTAATAAAAAAAGATATCACCCCTGACCCCAAAATCTAGTCATTGAATTAAGACCTATTTATAACTAATAATATGAAGAAACAAGATAGAAACAATAAATTCTAGTCGATAAATTAAAACATTAACAGTTCGAAACAAAACAAGTAACCAAAAAAGATAAACAAATACCTTAAAAAACCACAGTAATGAACATCCTTTGGCTTAAAAACTAAACAAAAAAATATCAACTATAAATATAAAAATGTACTAATATTTTACGACTATAAAAATAAAAATGTACCTATTAGGCCAATATAATTATGTATTATTTTGAATTAAACAACCAAAAGAAGAAAAAATATCAGCTAATAAAAAAGGATATCACCCCTAACCCCAAAATCTAGTCATTGAATTAAGACCTCTTTATAACTAATAATATGAATCAAGACGGAAACAATAATACATAAAAAGCCTAGTTATGCAAATTTATAGGCTTAAAAGTCTTAAAGAAACACCCATCCACTAAGTCATCAAAATTATGAGAAATTTAAAATGAAACAAAAAAAATTTATGGAAAAATTGCCAGATCTTTGGAGATCAAAAGATTTCATCCCTTGCCCCAAAGTCTAACCATTGTCTCATGGCGCAAGCCTCTCTGATTGGGAATCTCAAGCATAATTTTGAATCCAGCTCAATGGACAACCCAAGCCCCTCATGTGTTGCGGGACTGTTAGGGAAACCATTTCGACGGTGGATGCCTACAACACCATATTACTTTCCCTACATATATATTATACTATTATATATTATATGACATTATATAATATAGTATAATATAAACAAATATATTATTTATATATTAAATTATATTAAATATACTATTCAATATATAAATAAAATATTATATCATATATATTATATTGTAAATAATGAATAATGAATTATAAATAGCGAGTCTGCATGTGAAAATAAAACCCGAGAAATGCTTCTCCATGAGTTAGAGGCATGGTTTTGTTTACAAGCAAACTCGATCATTTGATGATAAATGTTTTATCATTGATTTTATTTTCATATGCTTTCTTTCCCTACCAAACATTGTTAAGGCAAAGAGTAATATTTTCACACTAACCAAATGTTCCCCAAAATTCAATCAATCTAGTATCACAAAAAATTTAATGTAGTGATTCTCCTGTAACAAAGGCACACATAGAAGAGGCAAATATTTTTAGAAAAGAGCCATTACATGCAAAAATTAGCATAGAAAAAAGGAAAAGCAAGGGTTTTACACTGAAATGAACCATGAACCATTGAGTAAGAGAGGGGTTTGCTAACTATTAAACACAAAAAGAAAAGCAAGGGTTTTACACCGAAATGAACCATGAACCATTGAGTAAGTGAGGGGTTTGCTAACTATTAAACACAAAAAGAAAAGCAAGGGTTTCTTTTTTGACCCACTGTATGCCCATCAGATCTGTTGCCCATCAGAATTGAATTCCCAGAACACTATGATAAGATATGAAAGTAACCAGAATTTCCATTTTAAGTGGCTGTATGCCCCACATTAGGGTGTGCACCCATTAAGAAATACCTGTAATATTGAACATAGTTGCCAATTTGACAAATTGCAAAATGAGCTCCGTCACCGGACCGAGTTACTTCAACTCAAGTATGTAAACCACTAGAGGATAAAGAAAATATGCACTGATTTTTTAAAAAGTTTATTTTTTAATGGTTTACCAATCAGAAATAAACTTTTTAATGTTAAAAAATTCTAAAAGAACAAGCAATTTTTTTAATGTTAAACAATTCTAAAAGACCAGGGAATTATTAATCAATCTCAGAAAGACAAGGATACATTTTAATTCCAAAAGTTCAGGTCCAAGGATCATTCAAATAAGGCTAGCTGTTTATATGCTCCAGATAAATACAACATTAGAGATCTAACAGTTTACATACCAACAGCACTATAATGGAAAATTTGTATCGGGTAGCAGAGAACTAAACTCAACCTGCTGTGTTAAGAACAAGGTCATCAGGCCTCCCGACAACATTGAAGTAAAGTAACACATATGCAAGGTTTGCAGGGAGAACAGGCTGCTGCCTATATTCAAACCATCCATGCTTGATGGAATCCATAACCCTTTGTCCCTTTCCACGATGCAATTCAGAAAAGACAGCATAAAACTCCTCTGACATACCCAATGAAATTAACAACAGAAAATACATACCTAAGGAGAATAATATAACAGGTAGAACAGCAGTTTCTCCTAGATTTCCAGCAGCAAGAAATTCCCTTGGTCTGCACAATTTGCCACAGGTACAAGCGAACTTGGCGATTGAGTACTCCCCTCGAGAGTCTGTTAGTTACGCAGACAAGAAGCAACTACACAAGAAAAATAATCATCCATTACCCTAACTAATCAAAGAAAATAAGGGACAAATTATTCTGCTTTTGTTTAACAGGAAAGTATCCTGTAGTCCAACAACTATAGAAAACCATGGCCCTTTGGGATCATAACCATTTGATAAACTGAGGGGAGTGATGGAAGTGATCTACAAGAATAAGACATGATCCCAGCTGTGGGTCCCCTCTCTCCAGCACCTTCCATCATTTCACTGGACAATTAGGAACACAAATCCCACTAAGACCATTTGTTTCATAGTCTACTGCACCATAGCATATTCTCCCTTGTTTAACTATGCGGTGAAGAAAAGCTATACAACAAAATTTAATAACTATAAATATCACTGATCATGGCATGTAATGTGCAAATTCCAAATAAATAAATAAAAACACATATGTATAGAGTCCATGGTGCAATAGACCTTCACCTCGCAAAGAAGATCAATTTGACTGAGCATTGTGTTTGCTTGGGCCAAAGCAATTGGCCTATTTGTTCCCGCCAAATGCAATATAATACACATAACAAAATTTAGAACAGAGAAGAAAATTAATTCCCTTAGAAAACAAACATTAACAGGGAAAACTTCAATTACCAGTACCACCCAATCTCGTTCAAAGGCTATCCCAGTTGCCAGACCAGTAAGCCTCTTGATAGTGCCTGCTAATACCAGTACAATGAACCAAAGGTTGCAAAAGTAAAGGTGTAGCAGAGGGTACAGGCATGGCAGTATTGAGGGCATAAATGATCATGGCTGCTGATAACAATTGAGCAGCTGTCTGACAGCAACATAGGCATCGAAAAGCTCCCCACCATACGTATGTCAAAAATTACCCAGCTAGAAATTTGATAAAACCAGCGTTTTAAAAAACGCCGAGTCGAACCGGACTCGCCCGGTTCGACTCGGAATTCGCGAAAAGGGACCGGATCGGTTGAAAAATCGGAAATCGTCCGGTTCTAGAGAGAACCGGACGATTCCGCACAGTGACTCGCCGATTCACTGTACGGAATCGGCGAGTCCGAACAGTGAATCGGCGAGTCGTACGGATTTTTTTTTTATTTATTTATTTATTTATTTTTTATTTATTTTTATGTAATCCATGATAGATTTTTTTGTAATGCTTGATCGA